CACCCTTACTCTTTTGGAGAATTTTTCCCAATGAGTAAATAGTGCATTTTCCTCCTAGCATATTAAATTGTAGAAAACGTTATATACTACTAACGTTTTGTAAGTAGTATAAAAATATATAGCAACAATTTTCAATTGATTTTCGTCAGAATATCACATTTTTCTCTTCAGATGCTTGTCAAATCTACACAAATATTTTTGCAATAAAGTAAAAGGAGAATCGAGAAATTCGCCTCTACTCACTTTCAAGTCTCAAATACTAGTAAGCTCACAATGTCTACACATAAAACTATGTACTACTGATTGACTGAGATGACTATTTGAATAGCACTCACATCAACCGGTAGTGCTTGCTAGCCAAATCGAAGTGATTTGAACACCAAACAGCTGTTCCACTCGTTTAGAGTCTGGTTCGACCCAGCTAAGAAGGCCAGCTCAGCAGAAACCAACAAATTTCTGATGAGTCCACTCCCAGACGAGACAAACGTCTGTCCGGTGTTAAGATATTCGATTTGGCTAGCAAGTGTTGCTGGTTGATGTGAATGGTATACAGATACTCATATCAGTCAGTCAATGGCATATATTTTTGCGTGAATATGCTTTCTCTCTTAATGACCATTCACAGTATGAAGCAGGTCACGTATTGTTATCTGAATAATTCCAAAGGAAACTGTGGTTAAATTTCACACTTCGAATTGTGTAAATTGAAAATTAATTTGACAACTGTGAATTTGATTAGTGTATACACATAACTAAATTGTTTTACCTAAAGGTTATATTACAAATAAGTATCATACGCATGCTAATTTCCTTTCCGACCATTCTATGGCCAAGTTAAACTTTAAGCACCACTAACTACCAATGGATTGTGGTTGCACCATTGACTTTGAGTGCTCCATTGAGTTTCACCCACGTGAGTTGAGGCTTCTATTCAGCTTGATTCGAGTCAAATGCCTGCTGTAACGCAATTACGTTAGCAATTTGGTGAGGACAAGGTTTTCCAGTATTGTTTGGATGTGGCATTGATTAGGAAAGAAAGGATTTGTTCATGTGGAGGTGTCATGAGTATAAAAAGCTTCAGCACGTCGGTTGATGGATATGTGCATCTCTGGGCGATTTGTTTGAGACGAGTCAGTGTCAAGGAAGGTAATCTGATGATTGTAATATTTCGCAGGGACATTTTCTGCTAGGTCCCACTTGTCCCAAACCCAGATTTTGTATATTTGTAATTACTGGGTTTTAAAACAGCCTGTTAGAGGTGCAGCAGCGCTGAGACAGAAAATAGTCTCGTATCAACAGTTCAGTGGTACCAGCAGTGCAAGGATATCGCGTCCTGGAAAATGGGGATGCCTACTTCTTTATTGAAAGCAGAAGGTGTCATGGTAAATGTTGATGAAACTGTCTTATTAAGGAAAAAATATAACCTTGGTCGGGAACGAGCGAATAGTGTTTGGGTGATTGGTTTATATGATACCTCTCTATGAAAAGGATTCGTCGAGAGAATAGCAGATAGAAAGTCAAGTACCTGAATACCTATCGTCACTCGACTAGTGAAACAAGGATCTATAATACACACAGATGAGAGGAAAGGTTATAACTCCTTGTCATTCCTTGGATATATTCACCACAGAGTCAACCATTCTGATGATTTTGTGGATCCCACTACAGGGATACACACCAATTCTATCAAAGGCTTCTTGAGAAGGTTAAAAACAGGATAAAAGCCATTAATGGATCTCAAAAGAATGTCATTTATAGTCATTTAGATGAACATATTTGAATAGGATGTGGTGTAACTTTTCACTTGATACTTCCATGCTAAACTGGGAGATTTTTATATCACATGTGAGAGAAAGGTATCCTGTGTAACAATTTTACACAGTTTTTAGCCATTTTGTTCATAAATATATGTATTTCATACCCAAAAATGTCTCCTTCATGTGATTGACGCGTTCAAGGTCCTTAGCTGATTGGTAATTAGTGGTGCTTAATGTTTACCATTGCCCCTTCTATAATTAGGAGGCAAAGTTGGTATGGTTGGCAACGTTCTCATTACGACCTCATGTCTGTGTTTGAGTCTTTCTTAAACATTCAGTGACTGTGACACAAACTTTGAAAATGAGGAGTTAGTTCTCTAACAGTCTCAGAGGGACTTATTGGAAGGAAAAACTCGAACATATGATATATATATATATATACGCTCTACACATATTACTCACTTGTAGGTTGTATTGTATTTGTTGAATTCTCACCATCATCATCCACTCCCCCATGACCTGATGAACTTGATGATATTTGAGTATTGGTGGTTGCATTATTACTGTTGTTAGTGTTGACACGTCCTGAGTATAAATTCAGCGTCGGATATTGAACTTGACCAGGTAATGATGATGATGACATAGGGATTGTTGTTAGTGTAGGTAAAGTTGTTCCATCAGTATTATTGTTATTATTATTAGAAGCATTGATGTTGCCTGCAACAAGAATACCTTGACTTAAATTCGGCACATTATTTGAATTCAGTGCACTTTGAAGACAAACATAATTATTTCCTCCTGTAAAAGTAATCATTTAATGAAATATAAGAATAAATACATTTTTTACTAAAGGAAAAAGGTTTGTGAAATTAACATTGTAAAACGTACCATAAAAACAGGTTATATAAGAGTTATTAGCAGACGTAGCGTAGCTTATTGAGTTAAGCACCGAAAAGATGACTTGACTTAACCTCTACAAGTTTCATTCTTTAAAGAGAAGAGATTCATAGGAGAACAAACTCATTAGAATTACAGCTTTAGGATTAATACAATTGTTTGACGTCCTGATGATATGTACTACAGGACTGACTCCTAGAAGTATGAAGGAGGTGTAGCTCATAAAAGTGACAGGTCGAGTGCGAATTTCTGATACTTACAACCCAACTGGTGGACATCTAGGTCTACCTAGGGGAACTGAGAAATCCTGATACCAAACCTGTGGTGTACATGGACTCCAGAAATCGAACGGATCAAATGGCGTCTGAACCTGTTCTGGTCACCACCAGACATAGTAACGTAGCTCCTAACACTACTCCGCTGTCTTGTGGACGAGACCTTGAGTCAAAGGCTTGAGGATGAACTCTTAAGACAATAACCTGCTTCCGTCTGGGTATCCGAGATGTGTCCCGGCGTCCGCGCAAACTATGAGATATTGTGTGGCACATTTCTTGGTGCCCATAATGTACGTGTTTGTGTTTTAATAATAATACAATTATTTGCATTATGTGTTTATTCATTCAATGCATAATTATTTCAGGTTTTATGTGATCAAAAAATACCTTGATGCAATAATGATCTTACACGAACAGATAAACATAAAGTGTATGTGCAACAGTATTTGTAGTTCTCAATGTAATTCCCATTAAATCAATTTGAAAACCAGGGAGTACTGCACAGCTGTTTCATCCTAGTTTGGGAATCATCGACAGTACACACCTACCAACGGGGTTCGAATCCAGGACCTGGTTTCCAATGGTTCTCTTACTGATATCAATCCGTGATCAACTCGTAAAAACAAAACTAATCCTTACAAACTGATTATAGAAAATCAATATGTGTTAATTATACGGCTGCCTTCTATTATTACTTCTCTTATTACTGCCTAGAATGTTTGGGTTTAGCGATTAATGGAGGCTTTAGAATATTCAAAGAAACCATTGTTCAAAACTATGGACTTTCCTCCCCCTAGGAGACAGATTTAAAACCACCTGTGGTATTATCAATAACGAGAGCTAAAAAATTCAGTTGCTATCCATACAGACTAGATTTTCTGTAGTTTTATTCCCTTAAAATGGCAAAGATGTACATTAATCAGTGGCTTAAGACGAGAGAAAATAGATCATTTTTCTTCCACCTAGTTTTCTTATAGTTTGTCAGTTAATTTAAACTAAAATGGATAAATGTTGAAGGATCCGTACTTCAGTTCAGTGATACTTTCTGCAGTAATTAGTGAATGCAAAATCAATGATCAAAATAACTACATTATGTAACCCAGGAACATGCGAGGAAAACGAAGCAAATCTCACTCAATTGACAAGTGTACGCAGATCGAACAACACTGTACGTAGTGTGTCTTCAGTGTATGTGGAGAAATATGAATAATAATGCAAATTTTAGCCCAATGGTTTTAAATGAATGAATGCCAAATAGGTCCAAAGGACGTGACATGAGTTTGCTAGCCAGTGGGCAAGTTTACAAGACAAAAAGTGCAGTCAAAAGCATTGAAGAGGGAATCACAAAACTATTTACACAAGTAACTGTAAGAGATAGCTTATAAGGCAGAATAATAGCTTTAACGGAACAATCATGGGCCCAATAGTTTACACGAATGCATATGTACAAAAATATAAGTTACATTACAGGAAATAGCAGAAGTCTTAGAAAACTTCTAGAATGTCGACACCCAGGTTATTCATTTACCCAGTCAAAAACCTAAGTGACTCATAGAAATACTCCTTATTTCATTTCTTTTCGATATTAGTGTTGGCGTTGAAGGTTCTCTAGCAGTTTGATAGCTTTTGTGGTGTAGGGTCGCTAGCCCCATCCCCAACCTCCCTCTTTACGTGGGCTTGGGACCGGCTAGAAAACTAGCAATCCAGTAAAATAGGCGAGGCCATCGATTGATATCACGCGCAATGCAGGCCATCGCTCGAGTGGAATCCAAATAGGAAGTGACGAGTGGCGAGGAGGACGAGGAGATGAGAGATTATAGGCTATTTCGGACCCAGCTGAAGAGAATGGCAGAAAATAGAAGGGAGTGGAGATGTGTTGTTGAATCCCTATGTTCCAAATCGAACCCAAGGGAATAATGATAGTATTAGTGTTAGTAGTGATGTCTACCATGACAATGTAAGTTTTGTGATTAAATCTTTCACCCCAGAGGAGGCAACAAAAATTAAAACGGAAGTATATTCTTTTGATTATAACTCATATCAACATGAGGGATAGCTAGTATCAGCCATAGTGCTAGTGTAACTATTTCAATAAAAAAGTAATCAGAAGTAAAAATGGACCGGAATTTTTAATAAATCAGTAATTTACTTTTAATATTGTTTAAACTGATCATGTACAGAGCATTCATCAAGACCTGTAACATTAAAAAAAGCATTATCCTCTTACTCCCTTGTTCTCGGATTTGTCATGAGTGATCCGATAAATTGTCCTTCAGTCAAAGTAGTAATGATACCTAGCTAACTGTAAATACTCGCAAATACACTCACTTAATGAAACAAACCTCATATATATATATATATATCCCTTTTGCCTACAACAATAACTGAGCGTAATTTAGCAAATTGCCTTCGTCTAACGGCCTTAAACTAAATCCTTCCAAATGTCAGACTGTCAACTTCAGTTTCCGATGTAAACGAAAGTTAAATGAAGCCGTTGACTCATATGGTCCTTGCAAAATTGATGATACTGATATAGAAACCCAGTCTGAAGTTAAGTATCTTGGGTTAATTCTTTCTTCTGACCTATCCTGGTCCTCCCATGTCTTAGCGATTTCTCAAAGAATATTTCGTCTGGCTTTTTACATTAAGAAGTTGAGGCACTCAGGCACAACCCAACCACTCCTCTTACAGTTTGTCAACTCGTGTATTTTACCTATTCTTCTTTACTGTTCACCCTTATTCTTTTCTGGATTGCTTAAAAAAGACTATGTCATACTTCGTAGAACTCTTAAGACTGTCAGTAGGACGAGTGGTATCCCATTGGGTCATATCGTTGGCATTGTCACCGATAGGCATTTGATGTCATGCAACAGATTCGCTAGAGGAATTTTGTCAGACTCTGAGCACCCACTCTACCCGCAGCTCCAACCTTGTGTCTCCTCACGTAAAACAAGAAGTCTTTTCAGGAGACTTTATGCACGTAAATCTAAGTATAAAAATTCCACTATACCATATTTAGCACGTACATTATGTGATGAAAATAGTGTTAGGCATGAACTAACCAACCTTCTTTGCACCACTAAATAATCCATTTCCTCCACCCTTACAACATCAAACTTTATTGTTATTGTATTTCTTATTTTTGTTCATTTATTTATTTTTTATAAGTATGGACATAATTTAAGCTGTATTATAACCGTTAATTTTGTATTTCCCCTCACTATACTATATCAACAGAACATCAGATCCAATAATCTATAACATGCTAAAGTTTCCAAACTGAACTGACAATACCGTTTGAAACAAACTCACTGTTATTATTATTATTATAATATTTAATAATCTCAATTCGTGTTTCGAATATTTTTGACTTCATATCGGAAATGTGGACAAACTCCTCCGGTTAATTTCGTTTTAATTTTTAATTTTATTTATATTTTGAGTAAATCAGATGCAATATTGTGACAAATGCTGAGAATTCCATTCTGTATTATAAGTACTGTTTTTGGAATAAAGTAGATTATTATTATTAATAATGTAATATGAACAGCATGTTTCACCAACGAATAAGACTGTTTTTCAAAAGAAAATGCATGCTTACTTTTTTTTCTGACAAGGCTAACAAACTTTTACGTAATAACATGCTTATTTTATAGAAGTTAGAAAGTTAAAGTACATACATGTGGTTATTGTTTTGCTTTTTACTCGTAAAGTTGTACTACGTAGACTGTGTGTGAACAACTGTTTTATTCAGGCAGCTAGATGCTAAATGCTTCAGTAATCAACACATAAATCACATACTTGTGATAAATGTACATTCATAAAGACTACGCTCACTACTACACATTTAACCATATATATATATATATATATATATATATATAGTTTCCCGATATGTAATGAGATTAGTCAGAGAATCTTTCGGAATGAAGGAGCTTTGAATATAAGACCTTATTGAACAATTAACGTCATCTGTCTCCTGAGAAAAAGAAAGTCATTGCAGAAAATGATTTAGATTCCTTAAATTGCTGTGATTAATCTCAACAAAAAGCATTTACCCTACTGATTTTTATTGATGTACTGTCAATACTGGTTACCATTTATCACTGATATACACAGAAATATTGTGAACAGTCTACGCTAATAGTTTCTCAATAATTTATGGTATTGAGGGACCAAGAAAACAATCGATTAAATAATCATAATAAGAGGGATAGTACCTCTGGTACAGCCTTTACGTACAATGATTTCTGAAAGTGAAACAACCCCATCGACACTGTGTAAAACAGTTGATGAAGACAGTACAGATAAATGAGAAATGCGAAAATTCAGTCTACTTAGGATAAATGTGTATACATGAGATCAATGTTAACTTTTATGTTGATTTAATACAAGATAGAACATACATATGCATAATATTTGAATGACATATTTCAATATAGGATAACAAATTTAGGGAAAGAAAAAAACCAGTAACGCTTTCACAACCGAAGAAGTAAGAAGATGTCCCATTTGCTTGACGAATGTGTGGAGAAATGGTGTTTAGCCTGTAGAATACACTTGTGTATCATTATTTTCAAAGATGGTTTTGATAAGAAATTAAAAGAAATTTCATTGTTTATGACAATACCTGTTGACTATTGAATATGCGCGCAATCTTTATGATGAGTGTTACCTGCATACTGCATAGTTAGTTCATATTTCAAAAGGACAGTTCGAAAATTAAAGTTACAATCTTAGCAAAAGTATCATACTGCTTTCTACTTTCTTTCTCAGGTTAAAATGAAGTACCACATTTCACTGTATTCTATTTTAGTGATAATATTTGGATAGTTATTATCCATCCTGAACGTGTCTCATTCAAAAAAGTAGGTCACAATGTTACATCTGAGGTTATAAATACTTGGATACTTTTAATTTCCCCTGATATATCAGCCATGAAGTATAATCAGTTCCTACGAGTTTATCACTGATTGATATCAGTTAGAGAATCATTGGAAAGTAGGGAGTACTGGACAGCTGTTTCATCCTATTTTGGGAATCATCGGCAATACGCACCCACCAACGGGGTTCAAACCCAGGACCTTCAGGATACGAGGCAAGCTAAGGCAGGAATTAGTAGAAGTTAGGATTCATGGCCCATTGAGTCGGGTCCCAGTGGCTGAATGGTATACGAGCTTGCCTTGTATCCTGAAGGTCCTGGATTCGAATCCTTGTGGTGGGTGCGTACTGCTGACGATTCCCAAACTGGGATGAAATAGCTGTCCAGTACTTACTGGTTTCCAATGGTTCTCTTACTGATATCAATCCGTGATCAACTTGTAAAAAATAAATCTAATCCTTACAAACCAACTAGTGAAAAAACAATCAGTTTCATCAGAATAACAGAAAGTTATAATAGTCATTATTAAACCCTACTAATCACTCAGTGATTAAGCTTCAGTTTCTTTCCTAATATAAAATTTAGTGTTTTCTTGCAAACTAATGTAAAAATTTGACTTCTACTGGCTTTTTCTATGACCTTTGTTTTTTATCTGTACAGCTATAATGAGAGGTCACGAAGAAAATATCCTTTGCTAACCTATTTCTTTAAGAAAAAGCCATTGCATCGAAGAGGTTTAGAGCAATGCTTTTCCTACACAACATATGAATTTCTGGTTCAATTCAGCTGTCAGTGGTATGAACAACATGCTTCTGGATGCGTAAAGCTTTAGATGAAGATTATGTTCAAATTCCTGGATTTTTCTGATATTTTCAACTGGCTTGGGAGACACACGTATAATAATGTTTTTCGCGTGTTTCGGCTTTTAAAATTTAGAGGAAGTGATTATCCATATTTCTCATAATAATCTTAAAAAGTCTTGTTCATTTACTCATGTAAGTCAAACTCGCTAACTCCCTCGAAACTCGAATTACCATCTTTCTGAATACTGTTATCATAACAAAATTCTGCTAACAAGAGAATCTTCAATACACTGATATCCTTTTCATATGATGTGACAAGATAAATAGGTTACTCAATCAACAAAAATAAGATAAAACCAAGTTTGTCTTACCACTTTGTCGGCTCCCGGCTTCAATATCTTCACTACCAAGTTCTCCATTACGTGAATCTGCATTACTGTTAATCTGATGATTAGGTCCAATCGGTGAAGTGAGTAAATTATTAACATTGTTATGATTACCAAGAGTATTGCTGTTGTTATTATTAGTATTTATCATATCTGGACTGACTAATATTGGTGCATTCACTGGCAAGCCAATACTTGATGCACTAGCAGATATGCCATAAAAGCCGGTATTTCTATCATGAAAACATGCATAGATTGGACTAGATGGTACACCGACTGCTTGTCCACCATTAACATCAGTATGCGTAAAACCATCGTCAGTCGAACCGAGTAAAGTCATTTGTGTGTGAATATTTGTTGAATTCGGATTATGCAGTGTCCCAGTCAACCGATTATTTGTTCCATTCATTGTCAGTCCATAGTTTGTTGCCTGTGTTGCTGTTTGTCTTATTTGACTATTGAGCATTGAATTGTGTATCATATCGTTTACTGGTTGATAATTGATTGGTGGCATAAAATTCACTGGCTGAAATCCTGCTGTCATAACTCCTGGAGATGATACAGTTTGCAACGGGAGATTCACCTTGATTACAATGATAGAAAATTGGACAAAGATAGGGAATCAGTGATAAAATACCATGTGGAGCAAAAGAAATTTTTAAGAAAAACAATTGACTACAAATTATCTAATACAACCTCGAGGATAACACCAAGTCAGTCCTTCATAACAAAAACGCCGATTAGTGGGTACTACTTACAAGATTATGCTGGCAGAACTAGACCGGCTGAACGTTTAGTCGACTTTTCAAGATTTAAGTGCATAATCTATGCGGATCCTTAAATTACAGACACACAGAACTATATTCTTAACATTCTGATTTATCATGGAAACAGCTTAAACAGGTGTCGGAAGGATGATTACGTCATGACACATATATGCTTAGCAATACTCAGATATTACAGACTAATAAAGGGACAAATGAAACATCAACGGTGTCAGCAGTGAATCTGGAAAGTAGTCACTATCAGTAGCATGGTTTTCTTTTACAGTATGATGGAGATAGCTTCCTAGAATTTTTCTTCACTAACCATACTTGCATTATTATACCCTTTTGAATTTTCATATGATACAACCAGAAAATTCATGATACTTTGCCAGTAATAAGCAGATCACGATTGATAGGGATCTCATAAGCAACAGATGAATACCAATGTAGGAATAGAAACAGTGGGCAGTTCATTCCTGCAAAAGTCATATCCACAGCTATACGAGTAAAACCATCTTAAAGATTCAAAATAGTCAAAAAGAAATACAGCCTATAATGTTATTTCAAACATCTTTGCTTATCACTGCACTTCTGTTATTACCATGTCAGCATTAGAATATCCCAGTTAGGAGGCTTACAGGTCTACTTATATAAATTAGTTTTATTTATGACAAACTAAGTGTGCATCCGTGGCTCAGAGGTAGAATGCCCGCCAACCACGCCTTATATAGTTCGGGGTTCAATCCCCAGCCGACACAGTCATTTACCTCACTAAGTCAACTGTAAGACCGGCAAAGAGGGAAGGTTGGTCATGAGGCTAGCAAACCCATCCAGTAAAAATAAACACTACTACTACCAAAACTTCAGAGGTTAAGCTTGAAGCTCCATTTTACTGGGAACGTAAAGAAATAAAAGAAAAGACGAACAAAAAATATCAAAATAAGTCGAAATTCTGAAATGAAACTTTCGTGCAACTGTGTAATTAATAATCATTAGGCCAAAACACGAAAAAATTTAGGCGTATTTAAAATTTTCCCTGTTATCTTAACTGTAGACATGGATTTTGGTCGACTTTATATGAAAATAAAAGAGTAATGAAAGTTCTGATATTTGTGTTTTTATGGAATAATTACATATAAGTGGACTGGAGGGTGTACATAATATCCCACAAGGCACATTTTATTCTTCACTGACTCTTTCATACAGTTTTATGGTATATTTAAGCTTAGTACCATAAATTACTGGCGGCCTATTTGAAACATTGGGCTACCTCAATTTCCAACCAACACACTGAATCTTATGTTCCCTGATTCTTACTGTTTTAACTACTCAATTATGTCCTTGAGTAGTAAAATGTACTCATGAACATTTTTAATTGGCTTTCAGACTACTGGTGTACATTTCTCGGAGACTGAGGAAAAATATTATACGGGACTGGTGTATGCTTCAGATTTAACAGCATTTCGTCACATGATATACAATCGACTAATAATTCGCTTAATGATAGTGGATGCAGGGAAAATATTATACAGTAATTATGTTGAGAATTCTGTAGATTATGTGAGTATTTTGTCCAGGATCAAGCTGTTATTATTATTATTATTATTCAGGATTTCATTATGAACTGACATCGTTTAGAGAACCATTGGAAAACCAATACAGAGTACTGGACAGCTGTCTCGTCATAGACTGGGACTCTTCACCAGTACGCACCTACCACAGGGGGTTTGGGACCCAGGACCTCCCGGTCATAGGGCGAGCTCGTAGACCATTAAGCCACTGGGATCCGATCCAGTGACCTATCCATGAATCCCAACTCCTGCCTATTCACGATATAGCGCGACCACTAGCGAATGTCATTATTATTATCATTATTATTAGATTTGACCAATTTTTAAAACGTGTTTCAACAAGGAATATTCTTTTTAACGAATTCTCTTCAAGTTCTTGCATTTGTAAAATAAAATATTTCTCATTACAATAATAGGCAGTTAGGCAGTGGATACATTTTACATAGAATAACTGTAAGAACCTAAAGAGAATTTACTGAAAAGGATATATTTCGTTCAAACTAACTTTTACTATATGATATGGATATATTTTACACTCTTAAATCCTAAAATATGTTTCTTTCTTTCTCCTGAATAGTTTTTCATTCTTGAATGTTAAACAGCTTTAAGAATTATTTGTTTATTTCTGCAGACAATAGTAATTTCAAGATTACTGGGGAAGTGGTATGAATCGAAACGTACAACCAAGAAGATTTTTAGCAATTCAAAACCTAATCATTTGCATTCATATGATAGCTTAAGTAATTCTGTTTTAGTGTATGAAATTGCTTCCAGTTTATTGGTGAAATTCTCCCTGATCATTTCACAACATGTAATATCAGGTGAATCATTTGCTTATTGTAACCCTGAATTATGACACACTTTTTGACTGCACTGTATTAAGTCATAAGTTGAAAGTGAAGTGTAGCTACAGATTCCTGAAATGTAAAAGTACTTAAGAGGTAGACCATATGATTCCACTGACCACATTCTCACTAGCTTCTTTTGACCAACATACACAATGGATAAACAGAAATCGATCTTTCACTATAGGAAAGGTATTCATTAAAAAATGTAAAAGAGATAAGCAAGTAGTCTCGATAAAGACAGTTGTTTCATTTATTTCGAAATCGCCAGAAACAATTCAATGAATTATTTGCTCTAGCATTTTTGGTGACATTTCTAGGGTTCAATACAAAATCAAAAGAATTAAAACAATAAAAATTCCTGTGTTATATTCGCCTAAGACATTTCAGTGTATTTGCTCAACCAGTTTTAAATTATGTCCTAAACAGAAGTGTTTGAAATAATACGTGTTAACATACAACTCTTACAAAACAAAACAAACTACTTCCCACTGAATTTATCATCATTATTGACTCCTTTAGTTCCTAGAGGAACATAGGGCTTCAGCCAAACGTCTCCATTGCCTTCGGTTCTCCACCAACCTTTTCACCTGGCTCCACATCTGCCCACATGCTTTCATCTCTTCTTGGCATGACCTCCTCCATGTTACCCTCACACTCACAACCAACTCGCCGCTTCCCATTCGGGTTCCACTCGAGCGGTGGCCTGGCGTGTGATATCACTTGATGGTTTTCTCAGAGTATGGTCAATCCACTTCCATTTCTCCCTGCACATTTGTTGCACACTTTGTTACTGTTGGGTTGGTTCGTTCATTACCAGAGATCCCTGTTGCTGATCGTTTCCAGCAATTTGATCTTTAGTAGTATTGAGCTAAGACAGCTGTTGACGAAGGTCTGTAGTTTGTTTGAAGTGCCCTTTGTGATGCGCCAAGTCTCTGATCCCTTAGTAACACTGACTTCATATTGGTATTGAAAATTCGGATCTTATTTTTTGTGCTGAGTGCTGTTGATTTCCACACAGACTTGAGAATAATGAAAGCATGTCTTGCTTTCCCGATCCTCGCTTTGATATCCTCGTCAGTTCCGTTCGCATATAGTTGGAATGATGCTTCCCAGGTAGGTGGTAAAGGAGATTGCTTCTTTCAGATTTCTCCCATTTATGCTGACTGTTTCCTGTTGTTACTGCTGTCGCTGTTGGCCAGGAATCTTCATCACCTCTGTTTTCTCTATGTTCACCTGAAGTCCTACCTTTGATGCTTCTTCTGCCAACTTGTTGCTTTTCACTTACACATTTTCCAGTTTGTCGGAAATCAGACATATATCATCGGCGAAGTCCAGATCCTCCAAGTTTTTTGTGTGGGTCCATTTTATGCCTGTCTCCTCGTCGGTCGCTCTCTGTTTGTCGCATTATCCAGTCTACGGCAATCAGGAAAATCATTAGTGATAGTAGGCAGCCTTGTCTTACTCCTGTCCTCACTTCGAAGGATTCCGTAAGTTTCCCCTTGTGGATTACTTGGCATGCAGCATTGTCGTACAGCTGTTGGATGAGATGTATAATTGTCGGTGGCACCCCGTAGTAGCGAAGTAGTTTCCTCTCGATCGACGCTATCTAAGGCCTTTTCAAAGTCGATGAAGTTGAGATAGAGAGGTGACTACCATTCCAGGCTTTGTTCAATGATGATATGTAGTGTTGTGATTTGATCGATGCATGACTTGTTTCTCCTGATTCCAGCCTGTTCCGGTGGAAGTTTTTCATCCAGGGCATGTTTGATTCTCTCCAGGATGATGCGGCTTAGTATTTTGCTTGGGATGGACAGGAGCATAATTCCGCGCCAGTTCTTGCATTGACTTAGGTCTCCTTTCTTTGGTAGTTTGAATAAGTATCCTGTCTTCCAGTCCTCGGGTACTTCGCCCTCTTCCCACACCTTCTTCAGTAGTGGTGGTATCAACTCCCCTGATGTCTCTGGGTGCATTTTCAATGCTTCTGCTGGGATTTCGTCTGATCCTGCTGCTTTTTCCAGTTTTTAGCGTCTTCATGGCCTTCAGGATTTCTCTTTTTCTCGGGGGGCTGGTATCAACTGCTTCCCATTGTAGAATGTATCGAAATAATTGTAGTTTTTTATTACAAAATAATTCATAGCTTGTCATTTATATCTCATTTTAGAATTCTTATTTTAACACTTCACTTAGTAATAATGAAATCGACATAATCATCTAATGTTAAGTGAAATGGAAAACACCTTTCTATCATCACACAAACTTAGACAGTACAATATTCAAGTATTATATTAACAGACAAATAATAAAAATTCTCCATTGGGCGTAAAGAAATAGTGTTCTCATTTTTTTTTCTAATAATAGGTACTTAATCTTCAAATACATTGGAATGTAAATGTAACT